CAGACAGACAGACATACATACATATGTCATTATCCCTACAATACAACCCCGCTTTCCTCTATATATATATATATATATTTTTATCCTAAATCTCCCTATATTTCCCCATACATCCCCACAACACCTATTCAAACGGACCCTTCGAGTGCAGGGCTACAGATAGCCGAGCCTAAATTCTAAAACCTTCAATCCAGAACCCTTCTGGCAAAACGTGAACCCCTAAAACCCTAAACCCCTGAAACCCCTGAAACCGTAAAACCCTAGACCCCTCAAACTCTCAACCCCTACGACCGTTCAAACCCTACACCCAAAAAAACCCTAGCCAAGCCACAGCCTCCCAGTTTGCCGCCTCGTCCATCGAGTGTGCCAGATGCTCAGCAGAGATCACCTTCAAATAAGGTCCCGGGTTTAGGGTTTTTTCCCTAAAAACTGGGTTTGAGGTTTAGTTTATACAGGGCTTAGGGTTTAGGATGTGCGGTGCAGTTTAGGGTATAGAGTTTAGAGTTTAGCGCTTAGGGCAGACAAGAAATAGGCAACCACTGCTAACCCGCAGCAATCCCAGCTGCAGCTAGGAAAACTATGTTCATTATCTAGACGGAAAATGAAACATCAGAAAACCCCATAGTTATGCAAAAAGCATTGGAAATATTGAAGAAACACGTGATGTGTTTTCCAGGCCCTTTGCATCAATACCAGCACCTCCCTACATATTCCTGCAGCAATTCCAAGATTGTCACCGTCACAACCCAAATAAGACTTTCCTCCATTCCGAATCAGCACCATACAAACATGAAGCCATCGTCTCCATTGGGTCTGAACAATGGGGGCTTGTTCAAGTTATGGCTCCCTTCTGAGTTCCCGCTGCCACACGACCCCTAATGTTGAATCTGCCACAAAAAGGGCCAGAGCTGTTAAAGTGACCTAAACCCTAAACCTCTAAACCAAAAGGCAAGGTACTGGGGCATTTCTCAGCGACTGGGGAGCTTCGACGCATACCTGCAGTGTGAAAGAGCCACCTGTAAAGCCAGAATAGGGAATTATGACCTAGCTCTTGGTTTTGAAAGTCCTTGGTATTCTACACGTAGACAAGTCAGAAGAAGTTGCGTCCACGCTTCTCCAAGCCCTCGAGTCAGAGAAATCAGGAATCAGCATGCAGCATTTTTTGAGAAAGGTCATCTCGCAACCAATAACTTGTTAAGGAAAACATGAGGAGAAAAACTAAGTTCTCAGCACATCCTAGACTCTGCTATGCGCCGGATGCTACGCACAGCTCGGACATCAGATAAGGCGTGGATGCTGTCCTTACTTCCAACCTTTCTTGCTTGGAAACCCTACAACATGTCATCAGCTAGAATAACGACTAAACCAAAAAGCAAACAGCTAAAGGCGACCTGCTGGGCGATTCCGAGCGTCACCTCCCGCCGCATCAAAGTAGAAGCGTCCCTTTGCACAGCACACACTTCGGCCAACCTTCTCCAATTTCTCTCTTGCCATTCGATTTAGCGATGCGTTGCGCCCATGGCAGGCTTGTATTGCACAGTAGTCCGCAGTTGCAACTGGCGTCAGGAAGAGGTGCAGCTGGCATGCGGCGCAGAAGATCTGAACAACAACAGCTATGCAAGCTGCGCTGCAAGCTGCGCATTGCAGGTGCCTCGTCCGCATTGGACCCTGACCGCTGAGACATGCTCAAAGCGCCCTTGAAAGATTTAGGATCATGTCTGATGGGTACTGTCTCTCCTGTGCCACGAAAGGAAGCTTCGGGGATTGGACTTCTTGCAAGATAGATCCTGGCATGGCAGAAACTACAGAACCAGCCATGGTGCCATGCTGGATTGCGCTTGCTTCGTGATGCTCCAGCTTGCTTATGTCTTGCCACATCCTTTCGGGATGCAATAAATTGGGAACACATGCGTGGGATCAGCCTGGGCGCTTCCGGTTCGCTGAAAAGGTTGGTGCTACAAACTCCACCTTTCTGCGCATAAGCAGGGCCACGAGCATCCATTCCCTAGGCTTGAGGAACTATAGGAAGGTTACAGCCACCTGTGCGTCAGCTGTGTCCGCGTGTGCTGCTTGAGCCCGGCTGCCCGGCTTCACTCTGCCACCAGCAAACCTCACCTTAAGGTCTTAGAGGGAGGCTAAATCCCTCACCTACCCCATCATTCAAGGATCTACCTACTTCGCATCGCAAACCTTGGAGCGTCCACTTGAACTACCTGCAACTGTCCCAAGCCACGAGCTGGGGTCTTCTTGTATTTCTATTATATCAGGATTGTAGGTGGGAGGGTCTTCCCAACCGGTACCTCAAGCGCCAGACCTTGGTCTGTCAACCATGCAAACCCTGCAGCCCGAACCCCAGACCAAAAAACTCTCACCCAATGCCCCAAAACCCTTAACTCTCAACCCCACACCCTTTTTCTATTGAGATCTTCAGCTCTATAAGCTATCACTATACTCCTCTACTTTAACCATTCACCTTTTTGGGGTGAGCTCGCCCAAGATGATTAAGTTATAACCCTTCCCTATCTATAGCCCTAAATGAACCCTGGATAGACCAACGCTGTATAAGCCTATGCGGGGAGTTGTCAATATAATGGTCCTTTTGGGGATGCTCTAAGTAATCAAAGTTGTATATAGTACGGGGGACCCAAAGATGGCCCATAATGCAGACAACCTACCATATCCAAACCCTTCCATTTCATTATCCGTGTTCTTTTCCAATTCATTCCCTATTATTCCTAGACCCTAAACGCCCTACAACCTAAATGTCCCCACACAACCCCAATGTAACCCTGTGTCCGAAAGGTCTCCTGAGCCGCCAGACCCTGCAGCAAAAGCTTTTGCGAAGGTCGATGCCATGGCGGACTTTCCGAAAGAAAATCTGGAAATTTCGAGAAAGGTTATGACTTTTTGGGCTTAAGGTTTAGGTGCAAGAGTTTTAGGGCCGAGGGTAAAGGGTTGAGGGTTTAGAGTCTACGGTTCAAGCGCATGCGTCACGATGCAGGCACAGCTTAGACCTTTGGGATTTGGTGTTTAAGGAGTATGGTTCTGAGCTCATGGGGATGTTGACAACCATGAGGGAATCATATAGGAACTGCAAATGCAATAACATCTTGCTTTTGCTGGGTTGCAGTTAAGGAACTTCAATTAAGTTACTATATTGGGGAAACCCTATTATTTACTATATATACCCATTATGGTAACTTAATCTAAATTCCTTAACAGCAACCCAGTTTGCGCTGTAGGTCTGGAGGCAAGCTTCTATCAAGGCTGATTGGTAGAAAATCTCCTTCCGTTTAAAGGCTCTAATATTGGGAGAATGGAAAAGAAAACGGAAACTGTAGGTCCCTTTAAAGGGATATATAGGGTTTATTTATAGGGGTTCTATAGGGAGAATGGAAAAGAAAATGGAAACTACTATAGCAGATTGTGGTTATACTGGGGGAATGGAAAAGAAAATGGAAACTACGAAAGTAGATTGTGGTTATACTGGGGGAATGGAAAAGAAAATGGAAACTACTGTATAGTGTATCTCATTCGGTTGAGGGCTCTGGCTTTTGTGCCTTTATGGCTTGAGGCTCCCTGTCTAGGACTGCTCTCTGCCAGGAGCCGAGGGTGCAAAGCCTGAGGTCAACGGAAGCTGACAGCGGCTGGTATCACACTGTCTCGAGGAATTTTGTTCTGGCTTCCTCTAATGGACCGTGGAACTTGAATGTAACTGTCATTCCTGCCACTACATGGGTGCCAAGCCCTTCCTTGATGCTAAGTATCTGGAGCCAACGACATATCATGCAAGCCATGGGCTATTCAGCACAGCACTGGGCAAGTAAGAGTACGCAAAATTGAGCTTTGATGTTGAACACAACGGTCATCTTAGCATTAACCCTAATTTGAAAACCCTAAACCCTCCAACCAAACCCCAAACCCTAAACCCTTTATCCAAACCCTAGGCCTAGCCCTTTAACCAAACCCCAAACCCTAAAGACCCATGAAGACAGGCCAAGCTTGGGCAAAAAACAGGTTCAGCGCAGGGTATAGGGTTTAGGGTTTCAGATTTAGGGTTTAGGGTTTTGAGAAGCCCTTGCCAGATGTATGGGCTGAGGGTTTAGGGTCTATGATTTATGGCTCTAACACATGAATCTATGCATACATGTAAAAGTATGTGTGTATATGCATTCATTTATAGCTATATTTATACTGGTTCCATTTCATGTTCAATTCTATTCTCCATGTGATTCTCCATTGTTGGGGATAAGAGCCCTGAACCCTAAACCTTGCATGGCCGTTTCATTTCATCTTGCATCTTCATCTTCCATACTTTCACGACATGGTCTGTGGTACAGTGCTGAAGACTTTCCATGACACTAATACATACCCGTAAACCTCCAAGTAGGGATTCTTCCAGAACTGATCGGAGCTTTTTTGTTGAATTACTTTGGGGCTCAAACGCGTTTCGTGCCCACCTTGCATCCTGCGATTTGCAGGTTTCGCAAGTAATGTTTTGTGATGGCTGAAAGAAGAAGAATAGAAGATGAGGAGAGTTATGATCTTACTCTAGACTGGGCACTATACTTCCCTGTAACTGTACTACTCCTGTGGATATGAAACACTCATTTGCATATAGAGCATCGGAGTCCCTATGAAGCCTATGCAGCAGGGCTCATTCTAGTCTGGCCATATGGCCATCATGCAACGACATGGGATGGCCGAACTCAGCCAGCCAGAGATGATCATCCACTACCCCGCAAAGCACAAAGAGCATTTCGCTTAAACAAAATCCAGAACGGTTGCTAGTCATTACTAAGCTAATCAGAGGCGCTGGCAACACGCTGGCGAGCAAGGTTTTGCCACTAAGCTTCAGGTCGCCGCTATGCGAGCAAGAGGCTTTCGTGCCATCAAGCTGTTGAAGCACAAGATCTGCTAGCCACTTTTGCTGCAGACACAAGTCTCGTTGTTGCAACTTATTGCCACGTTTTGCTTCACAAGGTGGCACTGGCGTCTACTCAAAATAATCGGACAGGTTCCGTCGGAAATCCCACCGCACTTTGAATTCCGCTCTTGGAGTTGTTATACCAAGCAGGGTTCAAATTCCAAGCAAAAGGACAAATCAACGTAGTGCCCATATCACGCGTTCGCACGATGCCTGACTTTACGAGATTTCCTGGCTGCGTAAAGTATACATACACACCAATACCCACACCTGTGTGATTGTGAGCGTTGATGCGATATCCACACACGCCATTTTCTCCATAGTCGGGCGTGTGATCCCAAGGTTCACGGGCAAAGGAATCCATTTCGCTCTGGTAAAAAAAAGACATGCCCCCCTCCCCATTCCACACCGTCAGGTCCTTTTGGGTGTGCTCTGAGAAAAGCCCATACGAGACAACATAGCGGCCATCTACGACTACACCGTTGTTACAGTACCGAGGTGCACATGTGCCGCAGCCACGCTGGCAGCAGTCCGCTCTCCAAGCCCAAACATTGTCAAGAATCACATGGTTGCCGGCAACTTTCACCATGATGTCCGCAGATACGACCTCAGAATCTGGTCCTCCCACTCGGACAAAGATGTCCGCTAGAAGCCCAGGATTTCGAGGGTAGAAGGAATTGGGTGCCCAGTGGAGGAGTGTTGGCGAGTGCACCGTGCCTGCTTGAAGCAGTAGGCCCACGACCCGGACCCCGGCAGAAAAAGGCCCAACCTCCACAGCCGCAGTGCCATTGGTTGCCACGAGGGTGGCCATGCCCAGCCCAAGGAGGACCTGGGTAGTGATGCTCTTGTTGAAGCCAATCTGTAGAGGAGAACTCAACGAGTAGATCCCAGGACTCAGAACGACGTGGCGCCCTATTGCGAGCTTCTGATTGATGAGCTGGGGGTCCGTTTGAGTTGTCGCCACAAATACCTGTTCAAAGTCTACAGTTTCAGCATTGCCCCACGCAGTACCACGCCTTCTCCAAGATACCTGGGGGATCTCAAGGCTGTACTTGCCAGTGGGGCTGATGGTGATGTACGGCTTCTCTAGGACCTGTGGTGCTTCCTCCACCACGAGGAGCTGAGGATGAGGGGTTTCGGGATCCTCCAAAGAGTTTGTACACCTGGCCGTTTGCTTTGGGGCTCCTGTGGTGCCAACATAAACGAAATTTACAGCTCGGGGCGGGATGTTGAAGTAGGTGGAGTTTTGCACCTCGCAGTTGCGCAACAGCCACTGCTGCTGTCGCACGAGATCCACGGTGCCTGTCACCTTCACGTTTGCTGCGAAACCACCGCTGCCCTTGCTAGGCCCATCAGGGCCTGGCTCTCCAAATGCAAGGTCACCATATACCTTCACACGGCGCATGGGCGCGGCCTGAGACACGGACCATGTTGTTCGGAGCAATTTCGGATGGTTTGCCAGATTCTCCACTCCCTTCCAGAAAGTGTCAAAGTTGACATTGCCTGGCTGGCTGGGACCATAGATTCCGCGATTACCCGTGAAGGCCACATCTTCTGGACTCTTGCCCAATCCTAGCACCTGGGTGTAGTAGCCCACAGGCACATCCAGGTCGTACTTTCCAGGCTTGAAAAGCAAGGCCACGCGCAGGGAGCTGAACTTCCCAGTCTCAATCGGGCCCAGCTGTGAGAACAGCGAATTCAGCGTACAGCTGATGTTCTCCATCTTCGGGTCGAAGACGTAGACCGACCCAGACCACTTCGGGGGATTCGACTCCGGGGCAGTCACATCCGACATCGAGTCGCCTTGCTGATCATGGATCGCTTTGTGCATGCCTCGGCGCTGCATGAGCATCTGGAGATCTCCTTCTTCCTCACAAACAGGCCCTCCGCCTGTGGATGCAACCATGAGAGTACAAAGACATGCAAGCCAGATCGCATTTGCAGCAAAGCCCATGAGTCGACTCGCGGAACTGGGCTTGTGTCCAACTCAGGTCAAACATCCACTGGGCCAACAAACTGCCATTCCGCACAGGGCTCTGATGTAATGCATGGGGTGCTTGGCTGTGGTGCGCTGAAAGCTACTCCTACCATCCTCAACAACCTACTTGAAGCATCTCGACATCTCTGGAAGCCTCCTGGCATCAGTGCACCTTGCACGACAGCAACCGAAAGGATTTTTAGCCGCCAGCACAACCGCCGATGTCATGGCTGATTGCAGACAACATTTGTCAGCCTAGTCTCCTTGAAATTGAATGGCACAAAACAGTCCTAATGCCCTGCAGCACTGGTTGGCACATAACCGACCCCATGCACGACCAGTAAACACTGCCAAAACCTCGAATCGATGCATTGGCATTGTTATTGGGATGGTGGAACCAAGCGTTGTTGTTTCAGGGGAGGCAGGTGCCATTTACAAACATTTTCCAAAATGGCCGTCCCCCTATGCATCCCCAAAAAATCACGTTTTGTTGGAGACCCCTATGTGCCCAGACCATCTTCACGGAGACTTGGTTGACGATTGTCTCAAGGCCCCCTGGAGCGCACTCGAGCCACAGGGCAAGGGGGATGCCACCCTTTTGCTAGGTGCCACGGTCGTTCAGATTTTTTTTACTCAGAAATGTTTAAGGCCAGATCTTGTGCAAGCTGTCTCCTTTGGGACTAAAAGAGCTTCTGGCTAAACTCTTCCGGGTTCAGGGTGCTCTGGGCTTCCCCCTGCCCCCAGGCTGGAGAGTGTCGCTCATGGCTGTCCCACACCAGCAGGTGAGAGGCTCCATGGGCTACAGGCACTTCTCTTCTAAGTTGGGGTTATATAGGGGCATATTTTATTGGGGTTATATAGGGATAATGGAAAAGAAAATGGAAACTACTCTCTTATATTGGGGCATATATAGGGTTATACAGGGGCCTGACCTGAAAGTAAGAAGTCCCGACACTTTTTGGTAGGGAATCAAAGGTCCATATGAGCTGTAGTCTCAACTCCTGGTATCCCACTGAATATCCCCTAAGGTAATCCCCTCTAGAATCACTTATATAACCCTCTTTAAGGAGTTAGACTATCCTAGTAAGCAGTAAGTGGGCCCACAATAAGGGTTTAGGGTGTAGGGTTTAGAGTTTAGGGTTACCAAGGACCCTCTTCGAGATGCACTCTTTGGCTCAAAACTCCAAACCCTAAATCATCAAAGTCATGCAAACCTAGCCATTTTTGAGCAACGGGAAAAACCTAACCCGAAACGCTGAACCCAAAGACGCTTCGAACCTGAGATTGCAATCTTACTCTGTGATAGGGACTGTCGTATCCACCAAAAAATATTGTAGACTTTTCACACACCTCCCCTTTGGAGAAATCCCCCATCCCTGTTCCCTAAACCCTATCCCCTAAACCCTAGCCTCTTTAGGTCCCCCATCCCTAAACCCTAAACCCTAATTTTGGTGAGACCCTAAGCCCTAAACCCTAATTTTGGTGAGACCCTAAACCCTAAACCCTAATTTTGGTATTTTTGGTGAGACCCTAAACCCTAAACCCTAATTTTGGTGAGACCCGAAACCCTAAATCCTAATTTGGGTGAGACCCTAAACCCTAAACCCTCACTTCGGTGGGAAGTAAACCCTAATTTTGGTGGGAAGTCCCCCATGGAGACTCAAACCTCTGGACTCGGCATCTCGGCCCTGGCTGCCTCCCACTCCTCAGCTGGACAATGCGACGTTAGTAGTAAGGCCATTTGGTTGGTTTAGGGTTTAGGGTTTAGGGTTTAGGGTTGTTTTATGATTTAGGATTTTGTTTTTAGATGGGTTTAGGTGCAGTGGGGGAATTTGGTAGCCCCAACACCAAGATTAGGATCCCACTGTAGTCACGTGATAGTTATAGCTAATTCGGCGGTTGGGGTTGCCAGAACACGCTTACTAAGGACGATATTGGGTCGCGTGGGAGCATCTCATCATGTTCCATAAGCTAATTTTAGGGTGCTGTAGGCATGTACAGGCACGAACTGGGAAGTGTATAGTCGGTCTGGAGATTATACCTGACAAGCCAGTGTTGCGGAGCTGAAGGAATTTTCGCAATGGTTTTTTAAAGGGGGAACTGCCTCACCCCTTATTGCATGGCGCTCAAAGCTAGCGTACGATTCATTGTACGTTACGCAGGTTGGGCTTTTCCCTCATTTCTGAAGCCTGCACCCGCAAGACCTCAGCTTCAGAATAGACGGGGTGCTTTACCATGTGCCCACATCTTAACATGGGATGTGTGGGCTCATCCCTTTGTTCAATACATTCAATACTAAACTAAACATCCTGAAGTTGTTCGGGGTCGGCACAGGAGTGCTTCATATCAAAAAAGGGATGGGAAAACAAGGGTTTCGGAAAGCTGCCCGGGCTCCTCCTCGCTGGCATCCTCGATAGGTTCCTTCTGAGTCGCTGCGACATCCTCGGAAGCCTGCTCAGGCAGCTTACACTCTCAGCGCTAAAGCCTATGTCAACCCCTTCAAGGTAAGTAATAGTAATAATAATAATAATAGTAATAGTCATAGTAATAGTAATAGTAATAGTAATAATAGTATATGGGGGTAATATAGGGGTTATATAGGCCATAATGACTTGAACCTGGACACCCCAGCAGCTCATGAACGCCCAACAGTTGAGGACCCCACATACGCTAAACAACGGCCGCTGCGTACCAGCTGCATGGCGCAGGTTGCAGAAAAGTACACTTCTTGCGACGGCCAAAATATGTACAACCAAGAAGTATCCTACCTACCTATCCCGGCCATGAGGACATGCAAACAGTGCCGGGACCTTTCAGAAAGCTTGGGTTCGTACTTTACCTTACTGGTGGTTACTAGAGAGTACGGGAATGTATTCCCGAAATAATCCCTACATAACATAATCCCTTATTCCCTACTAATCCTCAGGAAGTTACATGCCCTATTCTGCTTTAACATGGCTGAAGACCACCAGTCTGCGAAGTTTCGGGGTTGGGTCTGTCTCATACTGCCTTCACCCAGCTACAGTCTATAACAGAAGAGGTGTTAAGGGCTTTGTATATTCATATGATGATCATTGTTCAACTGATACTGAATTGGAGGGTTGACAGGAAGTTGGTTAGCACCTTTACCCTGAGCCGTTACTCAACCCTAAGCTCTGGACCCAAGCCCGAAACCAGAAACTCCAGATTTCCTTTATATTTTAAGACTTCTTTAAAACATATGTTATAGCTTGCTATACTGCATTCTGGCATGCGTATCAATCAGATTATGCCCCAACCTCGGCATCTTCCTGCACACCCGGCCCCTCGGCACGATGGCCCTCAGGGTCATGGCTCTGATCCGGGCCCCGGTCCTGCGCCCAAAGCTCCGTGTGGTAGGGATTAGGCTTCAGGGTCTAGAATTACCCACACACCCCCCCTATTTGCCCGCAGC